TTCGCAGCAGTGGATGTCACGAAACGTAAAGAATATTTGGCCTGTGTCCTGAAGTACGCATTCATGTGTTAAGGCAAAGAAAAATAAACATGCTGGTATGCTTGCACGTCCTCGTGCCGAGGTCAGACGACAGCTTGCTTGCACTGGACCGAACGCGTATGTCATGAGGCCTGTTTTAGTTTGTGCCTGTTTAATTTTATCTCTAATGGACGTTCTACTGAAAAGATTGGTCAGTAGGGTCAGTCTCCTCAGAGCCTGCTTTCAGGGTGACTGGTATCCAAAGAAATGCATCCAAAAGTTTGGAATGACTTCAGGCGGATAAACGTTTTATTACAGTGGTCGTCTCTCACTCGGCAGAAGTGATCTCAGTCGAAGAAAAAAAATCCTTTCTCAGAATTTCGTTTCTAGAGCACTTAGTGGACGAATCTGATAGGGGTGACTTTTATGGCCGCCTAAACAGCAAACAGAAACATAAACGCCCTGCCTACTTATAATAAGTGGCCTTGTCTGCTAAATTTCCAGGAAGGACAGATATTTGCCTTGTCAACCCTATCCTTTGCCCTGACATAAAAATAAACTGTAGTTACTGACTGTTCACTGCTGCCTTTTCGCCTGACCCAATATCTTGCTAATTTCCCAGTTAGTCTTCATGGAAGGTCATTACACTACTCACCATCTGGACGTACTCCAATTAAGTAGATTGACGACAAAACTCTTTAGCTTCTAGTAGATAGGGATCACAGACCGGAGGCTTAACCTAGATTCCCGCAAGCAGTGACATCGAGAACTAGTTTTATATGTTAAGAAGAGAAAGGCCTCTTTGGGAAAGTTGAAGCTTTAACTTCTAAATTTTCGAGGCAGGTTCCCCCGCTCGTTTTCAGGAAAATTAATGATCATCTGGCGTGCACACTGACTGGTAAGATTATGTCAGTCGGCGCCAGTGGACGTTAAATGCATTTCGTAATTCCGCCGTGGTTGGTCGCGCGTTTTGAAATTAGCCTGGAGGTAATTATAGCTGGCGTCCAAATTGATATGCCTGTTGATGCATGCCTCTGCTGGATGCATTCCTCCCAGGAATTCACGGCCTTTTCTAGTTGGATTTTTGCCAACAATCTGTGTGTTCTCCCGTGCGAATTTGTGGCCGGTTTCTAGTCTGTGCATAGCCACCTGGGATAAATGCTCTCGTCTTCTAACCGCTGATTGATATTGGTGTATGCGGGTTGAGGTGCATTTCGCAGTTTGGCCACAATAAACTGTATCAAAACTTGCGCACGGGATCTTGTAGACAAAACCTTTTCTTTTAAGATAGCCAACCTTGTCCTTAGGGTGTAAAAGTTGTAATCGTAAGGTGGTTGCGGGCAGGTGTGCCGCTTGTATCTGGTGTTTTTTCTTAGTTGTCTTTCGACAAGCTCAGATACATTTTTTACCTATGGGAGAGTTCGCCAGGTTAGTGTTTTCGATACGTGGTTGGCCGTATCATTTGAAATAGCTTTTGCTTTTCCTTTGGTTTCTTGTCGTTTTATGTGAAGAGCAGTGTGTTTTAGCTCGATTGAGGACGCTGTAAACAGAACTCCTTTTCTGTGAGATTGGGTTGTTACTCTTAAAATGTAGGGTGAACTCCGAGTAAACATACAAAAAGACAACGGAGACTGGAATGGCCATTTCTGGCTTAGATTGTCACCCGAAATGCCTGGGAATGACAAGGACTGTGTGACGTGTACTTGGGTTGCCTTTCCCTCGGATGTCTCACCAGACTGTCACTGTGCCCCGCTAATTAATGCCTTGTCATCTGACGCTGAAGTCCCAAATTTCTTCTGTTTTCTTTCCCCCAGGAAAGTAATGGCACTACTGAGGTGAACGGTGATGGTACGGGG